TTTAGACTATAGCTCACATGCATGACGTTCCGGGTTGAGTCCATCAGAGTACCTGGTGAGCAGCGCACTCCCCCAAATGAACATGGAAGGTGGAAAAGTGCTCTTTATAGACTCTGCCGTGGAATATTCCATATCCATCTGAAGGAGTGTAATGGTAGGGGAGCTGCCTGCATGGGCTCTCAAATATCATTCTGCTTCAGCTGCCCAGGGTGGTATTGGCTTTTGTGATTTTTGAGCAAGAACGCAAAATCCGTGCTTGAATTGAGGTGCGGTGCTCAAGACCCACTATGGCTACGACGGCCTCCGCACGCATGTGGAGGAGCGTGGGCCCCAGGCAAGGTACCAACCTGGACTAATTTTGAATCTCATCCGTTGCAATATTTAACAGCTTCATGGGCTGATAGGACGACATCTCAGCAAGCCTCACCTGCAGACGCACATTGTCGATTGGGATCCATCATGAACTGTCTCTGGTACTGGCATGCCTGGGTCCTGCAAAACACGAAGCCCGGACCCTTCCCAAGAGCTCCCTCACATCGATGAGATACTTGAAGTCACCAAAGGCGCCTTGTGGCTTTGCAGACAGACGTGATAGCAGCAGGATTGCGATGATATACAATCGTAAGGAAGCCAGCATATTGCTCTGCGCAGTTCTGTGCCGAGGCCCACGGCGTTCATAGGGGCGGTGTGGCTGGGCATCATTGGGGAAGCTGGCTATATGGTCACACGTTATTAGATTTTTTCCGCATTTCTGCTGTATACTACCAGGAAGTTCATTCTCAGCGTCATGATTTACACTATCCTGGTGATGTTCTTGCCAAAGTGACCGGCTGCAGCTCGCACATATTTGGACACATGTATGATGCTGTAAAGCGAGAAGGACTAGCATCCTTCACCGTTCATACACATTCTATTCAAGTCGGGCCAGGATCTGAGTCTTAGGTAGATTGCTTATGGCAGCCTACAAAGAGGGAGAATTCCTTTTTCAGCGTTTGCATGAGTTGTTCGGGGACTGCTGATAGCAGCAGCATGCAACGAAGCAGCAGATGCTTGGTCCGACTGGCTTGCTGATGTAAGGGTGCGCGATGGCCTATTTTCTTCCTGACCGGCACATCCGCATGTATACTTGTTGCTTGTGTGGCCCAATGGTCACATGCAGGAACCAATTGTGGATTGTGCTGTCTGGTGAGGGTATGTCATGCTGGAACAACATAAGACTATTAAGCGCATTGCGTGATGAAAGTAGCTACTAACAACAGGCATTTTAAAATGCGCAACATGTTTTGCAGTTGTTTGAGACGCGTCGATGCTAGTGCCGGGGCTGAGTTGTTTTCTGTACCAAGTGGGAGCCTGGCTTTCGAGTAGCAAAAGCTACTTAGCAAGTGGGCAACAGCTTGCATGGGGTTAAGCAGGATCTGAATAAAGAGCAAGATGTGATATTTCCTTGCGGATCTCAAGTTTCTTAGTAGGGCTGTGCGTTTCCTATCCTTTTATCACCGTGGGCATATGTGTATATATCTATATATAT